ATATGATCCTCTCTCTTCCCCTATTAGAATGCATTACTCTTTTTTCGGTACTGTTTGTTCGAATGCATAATACCTGTATCTCATTTGGCACTGATTTTATTCTGCCTTACACTATAGAGTTTCTTTTCTTTTATTCTTTTTCACGTATTTGTCTCACCGGAGAATGAATCTTCAGGTCAAGGGGTATCTTGGTCCTTCACCAGCATCCAGTGCTAGGCCCTGCAGGTAGTAAATGCTGACTGAATGGAAAATTAACGTAGAGAATTGAAGATTAGGGTTTTTAGGTAGGGAGGAAGAGTATTTCCAAAGTGGGATTCATTTAAAGCTGTGTTGGTTGAAAAGCCGCTGGTTATCAGCTATGAACACTGAGCTACTTTAACTGAGATAGTTGTCTCTCTTCTTCATTTCGATTTTTCCAAATGTTAGGAGCCTGCAAGGTTTTACTGTGAGTGTTTTAGCTGTTTGATAAGGCATTCGTAAGGCAGGTGGTTTATTTTGTTGTCATAATTGAAGTTGTATGGTATAGCCACAAAATCTTATTGGATTCCAATCTATTAAACTGGTGAAAATTAAATTTTTATAGTTATATTTTCATTCTCATTTCAGAGTTATTGAGCAAAGATGGCGATATGGTTTCTTTGCCTTTTGTTTAGCATCTAACTTAATTTACCAAAGGGTAACGACTTTAACTGGATACGAGTATTGTTTCTATAATCAGTGTAGGTTAGGGGACCATGAGATTAACTGTAGTTCTTTTGGTGGATAATATTTCCATTTTTTTCAACTTGTTGGTATAATAACTTACTTGATAGTTTTTATACATTTAGATTCAGGTTAATCATGTAGTACTGTTTTAGAAAAATAAATGAACTTATTTCTAGAAAGGAAGAATGAAAAATATTTGCCTGCTGTTAGTGGAGGAAATGAACAAAATAGATCAATTGTGATGTTTTAAAAACAATTTTTCACAAAACTTTATTTCGAGATAATTGTAGATTCATGTGCATTTGTAAGAAATAATGCATAGATTCTTTATATCCTTTACTCAGTGTCTCACATTGGTAATGTCTTATGAAACTACAGACAGTGTCGCAACCAGGATATCAACATGAATACAATCTACCAGTCTTGGTTATGATTGTGGTTTAACATAGTGTTAGTTTTCAGCATAGGTACTTAACAACCAGTAAATGTTGTGAACACAGTCCAAATTATTTTTGCATCTATTGCTGCAGTAAGTACTTAATGTTCTGTTGAGTTCATTTATTTTTACCCTTTCACATTTAAACCACTGAAATAGTATATACACAGATTACTTCACATAATTAAAAACTAAATAAAGTACAAAATAATTCTGTCTGATTTCTTCAGCTTAACTTGTTGGAAGATAGTCACTGATGAAACCAAATCAGAAATGTTTATTATTGTTCCTTGAAGTCAAAAGTTGGATGTATTGAAAAGACATTAAGAATTAAAGCCATCGAGGTAGTTTGAGGAATAAAAGTTGTGAAATAGGCAGGATTTTGTGTTTGTGTGCTGTGCCCATACACTGCATATGGAAGACATCCTGTTTTATTTATGAAAAATTACCCATTTGGCCTCTAGGTGTTAACAATTCTCAGAAATGCAGGCCTAGTGGAGGACTTTCACTTTCGGTGAATATCGGATAAAAGTTATCTGGAAGGAAAAGACTTTGACAAGACTTTCTTCACCTTTGTTTCACCCCTTACTCATGATATTATTTTCCTAAAACCCTGATGATTAAGAACCTGGTTTTCCCACAGTTGTATCCCAGTAATTTTTTTTGAATTGAGTGACATTTACTTTTTTTACATTTCTTAAGTTTCCCAAGCAATCTCATTTCACCATTTTAGAGGCTCATCTCTGGTTTTTTTTCTACCTCCCTTTCTCAGCCACACTCTTCTGCTGAGGATTTTTCTGAGCATTAGGCAATTTTTTGGTATCTCTAAGATTCTCTCCTCAGCCTTCTTCTCTTTTTAAATCCTCTCTTTGGGTGGGCCCACCAGTCATTTGCCAGTTCTCCAGTTTATAATTGCATCCCAGATCTCATTTATTGCTGGCCTCTAGACTTTTCCACGTGGATCTTCTCCAAGTATCTTAAAATTAACAAGTCCAACACAGAACTAACTCATCATCCATCCCCTGCTCCCATCTCCTCACTACATTATCCCGAATGCAGAGATGGTATTTTGTTCATTGGCTCGTGTGAATGAATAAATGAATGCTTCCAAAGCCACATGTCTGAGAGACAAATTTGATTCCTCTCTTTCTAGTCGCCCCTCCACCTGGTCCATTCCCAAATCCTGCCATTGTTGCTTCCTTAGTTGTTCTGAACCTGTCTGCATCTTTCAAACCCACAGTCACTACCATTTCTTACCTGGATTACTTCAGCAGCGTCCTCGTCCTTGTGGACTCCTTGTCTCCAGTCTTGAACCCTCTGTTCTCTGCTCTGCAATCAGAAGCTTGTTCTGAAAGCTCCCTATGCTGGCTTCCTCCTCATAGCAGGACTAGCAAGCAGTTTTTGTACATGTGATCATAAGACCTCAGACATTCCCTTTTCTGGGGTGGTGCGATATGAGTTTAAGAGCTAGGATGAGATATGGCTTTGAAAACTAGCTCTGCCGATTACTAATTGTGACTTAGAACAAATCAAATCAACAGACCTCTCTCTGTTCTCAGTTGTTTTCTCTTTAAAACAGGGATGATGATCAACTCAATAATATATGCAAAAGTACTTGTTAGCGTGCCCAGCATATGTGAATGAGCTGCGTTGTTACCCCTGTTCTGATCCTGCTGTCTTCCCTTGATCTTGTTGCCATAAGTATATAATAATAGACCAGAATTCCTGATCTGAACACCGTTCCTGTTCCTCTGTAAGCATCTTAAAGCCTGAGCTCGATGATACATGTTTGTTCAGGACTAAGTGAAATAGAGAAGTCCAGTCTTCATGACGCTGATCGCTGGTTGCTAATAACTCTTTGGACTTTCTTGTTTACACATTGAGAGCATTGGACCTGATGATCTCTATAATTACTCTTTCCTACTTTTATGACATAATTAAGGAAATTGAAAGAACAAGCCCCAATAATCCCAGCATCCTAATTTACTAACTGATCATTTTTTTGTTTCCTTAAGGTTTTATCCTTATCCATGAATATTTTTAGAGCTTACAGATAAAGTTTGTTTTCTGCTTTATTCCATGCATTAAACTTTTTCCATATTACTACATTGCCTTTGTGACTTAAGTGGTACGTAATATTCTGAGTCTTCTGTCAAGTTAATGAGCCTTCCTTTACTTGGTCATTTTTCTCTTTTTAAACATTTATATATTTTTTAGCTTAAACTTTCTGTTCTCTAGTTTGAGCACTGCTGGACTTACATACAGGAAGTTCACAATTATCTAAAATAGTACAGAACTAAAAACTAAGTGACTATTTATAGTTGACCAGCTGGCAAACATTTATGACGCTGCATGCTTATTGGCCAAATCAGGAAATGGCTGTCTATAATACTATTGATGATCTGAATTATAATCTCCTGGGCTAGGATCAGATGTTAGTGCTTTTTAAAAAGCTCTAAGTGTAGATGGTCAGGTTTAGATCTACTGAATTCATGTTAAGATTTAATCAGAACAGTCTGCTCTTCTTGAACTGATAGATTATAAAACTCTTAGCAATGACCTTAATTTTTTTTATTACACCCAATACATTTTTATTTTAAAGAAATTAAAGCTCTTCACCACCACCATCCCTCTTATGTTCTTCCCACCCCTCCAGTCTCCTAGCCTAACCACTAAGTTAGGTTTATGTGTATACTCCAGAGCTTTATATGTGTATGTACACAACACCATGGAACAGCAGCAACTTTTAAACACACTAATAGTGACTAAGAATATCTTTAAAGTCACTTAAAGGGAAGTTTGAAATATCATATGATATCACTTATGTGTGGAATCTGACAAGAACAAATTCAAAGAAACAAAGTAGAGTGGTGGTTACCAGGGGATGGGGGGTGGGAGGAGGTGGGGAGATGTTGCTCAAAGGTACCAACTCCCAGTTATACAGTTAACAAGTTTGGGGATCTAATGTACAGCATAATGTTTATAACTATTAATACAGTATCATGTACTCAAATGTTACTAAGAATTAGATGGTGAATGTTCTCAGCATAAAAAAGAAATGGTAACTGTGATGAGATGGAGGTGGTAGCTAATACTACGGTGGTAATCATTTTGCAATTTATAAGTTTATAAATGTATCACATCAACACATTGTGCACCTTAAATTTACATAATGTTATGTGTCAATTAAAATTTGATAGTGAAATATGTAGCCTAAAGTTATTGTCTCTTTCTCTAAGGTGATATTCATGTTTTGTTACATACTAAACAATAATTTGAACACTTTTATTTTTATAGGCTCCTTAGTTCTAAATATGTTTTAAAAGGGGATTCTTGGCAATAGCGTTATTCCTTCTAACAATGATAACTTTTTTTTTTTCTTAGCAAGGTCAGCATTGGACACAGCTGCTCGTTGTAAGTATTTCATCTTGAGAATTTGCGCATGATTTATTCTGTTTTATCTTAGGATATGAGAACTAATATTCAAACAATGGGGATAATTCATGTTAGCAAAACTGATTCAGAAATTGCTTTTCGAAGTTTTAAGGATGCTATTTGATTGGCCAGCCCAATATTCTTCATATTTATTCATAATGAATATTTTGTTTCATTAGTGTTTTTTAGCTTCAGTATTATAAGTACAGAAAGTGTATAAAAGGAAAATTTCTGGTTAGAATTAGTACATGAGCAGATACTCAGTGATGCATTAGGCTTTTTAGCTGGTCCTGGAAGGAACCATTCGTTGTGCATTTATGCCCTGAAAGTGGAAAGTGACAATTTAAAACCTCTCTCATCCTGAATTAAAAAAGAAACTTAAAAGTAATTAGATAAAATATATTTACTCTTATCAAGATCATAGTACTCGATTCATTTATAGTAATTATTAGCTTATTTCTTTAGTGGTTTTGTTTTTTGTTTTAAGGTTTTTTGAAATCTTCAGAAAAAAATGTAGGGTGTATTTTAAGATATGTGTAGCTTGGTGATTTACATAATTCCTTCTGTGGTTTGATATTTGAAACAAACTAATTATAGAGTCTATTAACATTGTTTTTGTAAAAACATCTATTTTCTTCTCCAAAGCTACAAAACCTCCCAGATACAAATGTGGGATCTCAAAAGCTTGCCCTGAAAAGCATTTTGCTTTTAAAATGGCAAGTGGAGCAGCCAACGTGGTGGGCCCCAAAATCTGCCTAGAAGACAATGTGTAAGTATTTATTGATTAGAAGTATAGGTGTCCTATTTAATTATAGCAAATCGAACCTAAGTTTAATGGATCTTTTGAAAATGTACTGGGCATGCTTTTACTAAAGTGATTTCAGTGATCATTATACAGTTTCTTCTCCACACATTTAAGGAGTCAAAGTTTTTAATTTTCATATTAGGGAGTGACATTAAGAACACAGTATATGTCTAGCTTCAAGGAGAGATGAGGGATTTCCTTTGAGTGAATTTTCTAGATCTCTGCTGTCCCATATGGTAGCCATAGCCACATGTGGCTATTTAATTTTGATTCTTAAATCACAGAAAAAAAGTTAATTCACTTAATTAAAATTAAAAGTTCAGTTTCTCAGTCATACTAGCCACATTTCAAATGCTCAGTTGCTACATATGACTTGTGCCCGCCAAATTGAACAGCACAGCTAGAGTATTCCATCATTGCAAAAAGTTCCATTTGATAGCACTGCCCTAGACAATGAGCACTTTAGCTTACAAACCAACATCTTTCATTTAAAATGTTTAAATGCTGCTTGTTGAAGCGTGAAAGAATCCTGTAATAACCTCAAGCCGATCGTGGCACAGAGCTGCTTGCCACGAAGCTTCCTGGTTCCCTATAGAGATGCCCTACAAAGTATAGTTTTTAGGTTTTTCTATCTCCTACCTCAGTGGCAACTATCATTTGTTTGAAGTTGCTGCCTTTGAAGTCACAAGTCCTACTTTTAAGCTGCTCTTTTCTAGAAAATTAGATATATGAGCTTATTCGAAATTCATGTAAAATAATAAATATCCCATTAATTACATAGACTAAAGAGTGAGATAATTTTACAGATAGCGAAGAGGAAACTGGGTCGTTTCTCCCAGCATTTTGTGTGCCTTTTTTTTTTACATAGAAGCTTTTAAATATTTATCATAGCCCTTTTTCAGTTAGCTATGGGCAGGTATATAGCCTCTCTTAATAACACTTTTCTTGTAAAATTAAAGGCTTGAGCTAGGTGATCTTTACAGTGTCTACTCATTTGCTTTTCCCTCATGCTAATGATATTCACTTTAATCCATTATCTTCTGATTTCTCATTATAATAGACCTGTCTTACTGAATTATGTAATAACACTTGGATTTTAGAAGTTCGTGGATTTTACATTAAATAATACCCTTCCTATTAACTTAGAATGTTCCCATTTCCATATCTTTCTTTGTTTGACTAGAGAGGCTCCAACTTTGATTCTAAATAGTAGAAAGTTCTCTTAGACTGCCTAGCCCATGCTAGGTTGTCTTTGGATATCTCTATCTACTCGAAGCATGTAAGTTTTAATGCAGAATAGAAATCAGGCTCAAAACTAGTAGATTTTTCTATTAATAGATTATATAGATCGAAAAGAAAAGAAAGCACATGTGAGAGTGGGGTCTGATAAAGTAAGTCCTGGGCCCAGAGCCCAGGGCATTTGGTTCTGGCATGGTGGGAATGTCATGTAGAATTTGTGTTTCAGTTTCTTTAACCATAAAATCGAGGCAGGCTACCTATTCATCTTCATTTTAGGACTCATCCTGCCATTCCTATGAGAGATGAAATAATTGATAGGATTTTGGAGCGAGGCCTCAGACCATGAAATCTAGTCCCTGGTAAGGGGCTGGCCAGGTGTCCCCACTGGAGAAGTGCAGGGACCGGTTCACACTCCACTACTTCTTCCAGCACCTTCTGTTTCTGTACTGGAAGTTTTTCCAACAAAATATTTAAAGAAAGAGTCTGAATTTTCTTAGCATCATTCATTCATTTATTCATCAAGTAATTGAGCATAGTTCCTGCCGTCATGGAACTTGGGAGGAGTAGGGGGACAATGACGGATATTTAAGAAGTAAATGCAAATAAATAATTGCAAATTGCAGCACAGACTGCAGAGCAGCAGAGCGTGACGACTGGTGGGGGTGAGTGAGATGAGGTCAGGATGTCCGACTTTAGATCGAATCAGTCAAGGAACAGTTTCTCCAGCACAGTGACGTTTAGTCTGAGAACTGAAGGATAAGAAGGAAGATAGCCAGGTGGAAAGTCAGGGAAGAACACTCTAGGCAGAAGGAAGAGTGTGCTCACAGGCCCTTCGATGGGAAAGAGCTGGAGAGAAGTGAGCAAGAGCCAGGCCCGTAGGAACTTGTAGGCCATAGAGGGGTGAGATATTTTTTTTTTTCTGAGTGTGTTGAGAAGTTGTTGACAGTTTTCAAACTCTGGCACGTCGTGATTTCCTTTATATTGAAAAAAATGACCTGCTGCTGGGTAAAATGATTAGAGAAGTAGAGTAGGGAGAGTAGTTGGAAGGCCATGGCCGGTTGTGGCCACGGCTCTTTGAGACTGTCCCCACCCGCCCTCTCCCGCCCCCATTGGCAACAGACTCTTTTTGCATGTACACGCACTAAAATGTGTAAGTAGATACTAAAAATACATAAGTAGGTATTTTAATATTTTCCTACATGTGTTGAGTACATGCAGCTCACTTTGGAGACTACTAGTCCAGATCAGTGCTTCTCATCAGGGCCGGGGATTCTCCCTGGGGGACATTCGTCAAGATCTGGAGACATTTTGGGTTGTCACAGCTGTGGAGGTGCTACTCATAGGCCAGGGATACTCTTAAGCATTCTATATTGCACAGGCCAGCCCCTCCCCACAAATTATCAGGCCCATAATATCAGACCAAGTTAGAAAAACCCTAATACAGACAAAAGACGATCGTTACAATGAAGGTTGTGGTCATGGTTTAAGATAGATTTCATTAGTTAGAAATAGAAAATTCTGGGTGTAAACATCAAGTTATCACACAACAAAAATTGTAGCTTCTTATTCTTTTTTATTAAGAACCCATAGAATTTATTCATGTTCAAGGTGTAGCTTTTGTTTTAGACATAACTCATTTGATTTCAACTTACATGAAATTTATATGAAGAATAGTGCTTCACTGTTTATTACATAATCAATATTTGGTATAGGAATATATAGCAGACTATTTTGAGGAGTTTATTTTTCTATCAGGGGGCCAATAGGTAAAATCAAGAATATTATACAAGTACCTATATAATTTAAAATGTAACCATTTAACAATGTAAAAACCATTCTAAAATCATGAGTAGTAAAGTAAAAGGAAAAACCAGCCAAGTGGCTTGATTTGGCCCATGAGCTTATGAAATATAGTTTGTTAAACCCTGCTAGAAACGAATCATTTTAAGAAATAGTAGTTAGAACATAGAGTAGGTATTTGAAATAAAACTATATTCAAAGATGTAGACTCTATAGATTATATGATCATATGATCATTTTCTTTAGATTTTTGCCTGGAAGTATGGAGTGATAGGGGAGGAGGGACCTTCATATTCATGAAGGGTAAAATAAAATATTTCAACCTGTGTTAGAGTGACTCTTATACATTTAAAATCCTCAGAGTTTCCTCATTTGCTAGTTAGAGGCTTCTCTTGATTGAATTCGTTTTTAAAAATTGATAAGCTGCTGCCCTCTTGTGGGGAGTCAATGTCATAGTGCTACTTTGTTGTCTTTTTCTTTGCTCTGTGACAGACAGCAGCATACTCTTGAGATGATCTCTACTTGGAGGAGGCACTGTGACACTTAATAATAAATGTAGTGACAGCTATTGCCTATTAATATTAATAGTACAATCTACTTATATATTTCTGAAATGAGCAGAGCAAATGCATTTTGAAACTTCTCTTGTATATAGCAGATTTGTTTGGCCCACCTTTCAAAACTAGTCTTGCAACACATAAAAAAGTTCTAAACTTTATTACATGTAAATTTTAGAGAATGACAAGTGAAATTTCGAAGGCAGATATGCAACCAGGTTGGGTAGATAACTAGTTAAATTCTAATAAGCTTTTAAAAATAAAAAATTTATGCTTTTCTGTTTTATAATATTTTTAATATTACCTTGGAGTAGAGTATTTTTTTAACTTTTCATTTTGAAATAATTATAGAAATCACAGGCAGTTGCAATATGGTGCAAAGAGGTCAACATACTCTTCACCCAGTTTTCCCAGCGGTTCTGTCTTATGTAATTATAGTACAATTATCAAAACCAGAAAATTGGCATTGGTCCAGGGTGTGCTTAGTTCTGTCATTTTATCGCATGTATAGATCCATGTAGCCAACACAGCAATCAAGATATAGAATTATTTCATCACCACAAAGATCTCTTTTATACTACCTTGTTATGTGTCACCTCCACCATCAGTAACCCTTGCCAACCACTAATCTGTCATTTCTATCACTTTGCTGTTTTGAGAATGTTATGTGAATAGGATTATATAATATGTGACTACTGAGATTAGCTTTTTTCACTCAGGATAATCCTCTTGAAATACTGGTACATGTTAATAATTTACCCCTTTTTTAGTGCTGAGCAGTATAATATAATATGGATGCACCTCACTTGGTTTATCCACATCACTTACTGTCCTCAACCGAACAATTTTAGTTGTTCCCAGTTTTTGGCTGTTACCAATGAAGCTGCTATGGATAGTCATGTACAGGTTTTTGTGTGGACATACATTTGTATTTCTCTGCCATGAAGTGCCCAAGAATTCTGGGTTATGTGGTATGTGTTTAATTCTGTAAAAACTTCCAGACACTTTCCAGAGTGACTGTACCATTTTACATTCCTGCCAGCATATATGAGAGATCTGATTTCTCTGTATACTTGCTAGCATTTGCTATTGTCACTATTTTTTTATTTTAGCTTTTCTAATAGGTACGTAGTGATATTTCAATTAATTTTCTTTTCCTCGTGGCTAGTGAGATTGCACATCTATTAATGGTATTTGTGTTTTGTTTTGTTTTATTTTTTGCCACCTGTGTATCCTCTCCAGTGAAATACCTATTCACGTCTTTTGCCAATTTTCTTCACATTGCTATTTTTACTGCTAAGTTGTGAGGGTTAAAACTGTATTCATTTATCAGTTGCAACCATAGATTAACTACAGATAGGAGTTCTGTGAAAATCAGCTAACACGTACTGTGAGAATCAGTTAGCTATGTGGAATTTACAATAAAGTATTATAGATTTTATTTGTGAAATTATGTGCTACATATACTTTACTATTACTAAAATTTCTAACAAACTTATGTACCTATACATGTGTGTTTAGATGTATAAATATATGGATATGTGTGTGTCTGCATTTTCATACTCTGCCAACCTCAAACCCGTTGTTAAACATTAAACCGTACACGACTGGGAGTATTACTATTACCTTTAGTTTTTAAAATTTTTTAAATTAAAATTTCTTTTAAATTAAAAGTACCCATAATTTTATTTTAGTAATTCTAATTGAACAAACTGAACTGATAAGCAGGAGTTTCACAGATGCCTTCCATTTCACAGTATCATTGTCTTTGTGTGATGGTCTGTGGATGTTGATCACTTCAGGTATGACAACGTAAGTGACTGGTTAGAAGCAGTCATATAAATGCAGCATCACTTCTGATAATCACCAAGAGCACGTTCACAGTTAGGTGAAACATTCACGAAAGAAGCGTCCCGCACTTTTCTTGCTTTCAGATTATGAAAGATTGGGGGAGCATCTTGCTTCTTTCCCACCTCACACTGATGCTGCAGAAAGTACAGAAGAGGTTGTCGATCGATCCCTTCAGAATGGTTGTAGAATATGTGTGTGCGTAATGTCCACATGTTTAAAGGATTCTCTAAAACGATATTTCATAATCTGACCCAGAGCAACAAGAAACAGTCCAGTATTTTGCCCTAATACTTGTTAATATGTATTTCTGTGAAATCTTATTTTAGGACATTGCTTTAAAGTTATTAGACTGTTTTCTCTCACTTAGTAGAGATCTTTTAATCTCCGCTGCAGTACTAAATGATTGTACATCCCATATAATATTCTTAACCTTTATTTTTTTGCATGACTTTATTTCTTTGGTACATGTCTTTGTGACATCTAATTCTACATTTGTCTTGACTTTTTCCCCTTCAGTTTAATGAGTGGTGTGAAGAATAATGTTGGAAGAGGGATCAATGTTGCCTTGGTAAATGGTAAGAATAATTATTTTAGCTCATGGATGTAGTCAGTAGATATTCAAATGCCCTAAAGCAAAATGCACTCAAATAATCAAGAGATCAGGTCAGAAAGAGCCACTCTTGACGCTAACCCCCGTCCCTGCCCCCGGGCCCCCCTGCTCAACTCCCTTATCCCCATAAAAAAGCCAACTATATGTGGAGAGTTCATGTCTGAATATTTATAGTTGCTTTCTTGGAAGCATCCAGCTTACAGTGCAATGTGTGGGGAGCTTCCCATGAAATCATCAAAATACAACCAATCTAACATTAAATTGATGAATTCTTGCTGCAAATTTTGGAATCCTAACATAATGTGAAGATAGATTGACATGAATGAGAGGATGTAAAATGACAAAGGGTGATGGACTATTGGATGGGGTGGAGGAGAAACGAAAAGTAAGAAGAATCAATTTTAATTTTTCAGTATTTGTCCACATTCTTCTAAGTTCATTATAATAAATACAGTTATTGAACCCTGAACTTCTTGAGTGTTCTTGCAAAATCAAATCCGAAAATATGAACCCATGAAGTGAGACCTAACTACACGCTGGTCTTCTCTTTCTGCTACAATAACCCTGTAAAGCTGTAGAGAGTGATTAAAACCACGCTCCCCAGTCCATAGTGTAGGAAAATATCTCTTCTTTCACAACAAGAGGTGAAGTTTTGTGTTTCTACTTTTTTCATTTTCTTAAGTAAAAGGTTCTATACCTATTTGTCTATTTAATTGATAACAAAAAAATAGATTTTAGTCTACAGCCATGCTACCCAGAACAAGCCTGATCCCGTCTGATCTCAGAAGCTAAGCAGGGTCGGGCCTGTTTAGTACTTGAATGGGAGACCACCTAGGAAGACCAGGTGCTGTAGGTGTAAAAAAATAAAAAAGGGATTGTAAGATGACAAGGTCCTTGCAATCTGTGAGGTCAACCAAAGGTTGTCTCACCTTAAAAAAATAGATTTTAAAAGGTAGATTTTATAAAAAGATATATTTAATGACAGAAAAATGTCCAACTTTGAATTGGAATCGTCTGTGATCAGTAGAGAATTTCTGTTTGCTCCTCTTTGGCTTACAAGACTAGTGAGAAAGTCCTATCCAAAAATTACCCTTTAGCAATATGTTTCAAATGCATGTAATTCAGATTTTAACTCTTTTCTCAAGGTAATTCACATCCATTATTGGATAAGATCATTTATACAATATAAAGTATATTTCAGTTGCATAATTTGATATGGATTCAATTTCTTTCAGGAAAGACAGGAGAAGTATTAGATACTAAATATTTTGACATGTGGGGAGGAGGTAAGTTTAAATAACCTAACTGTTCTGTTGCTAGCACTGACTTCTTAATCACCTAAATATAATGTTGCCCAATAATGAGAGAATAATGGTTCTATTTTTGTGTTCATTTTGTTTCTCTTTTCACTAAATGTCCAGCTATGTTTAAGTAATCAGTCATTAGTATTTACTTTTTTAACTAAAATAGTTGTGTGTAATCAAGAACAATACTATTAAAGTGGAGATTTTAAAAAATCTTCAGTCTTACTTCTTGCAGTACAACTAATTCAAAACTTTGGGCTGCTTTAGATTCTGTCTGAAATTGTTAAAAAGAATGAAAAATTTGATGATGGGCATAACTAATTTAAGTGTTTTGAACTGAATGAATCGATTTCTTTATATGTGATTTCCCAGTCTCAAAATTACATTATAACCAGAATTATGATTAAGGTAGATGAGCATCTGAGGAAAGGAATAGAATTTCCTTTCTAGTTCACTGGACTTAGAGTGAGGTACAGATAGATATCTCCTGTATTTGAAAGTCCCTTGGAGAGCAAGCGAAAGTCACTCACCAGCATGCAGGGACAAGGACTGGCGCTCTATGAGATGCCACCCCAAAGCAAAGGATTTCTCCCTCTAGTTCTAAGACCAACACAGATTTGTCTTTTCAGTCTTCTCTAAATTTATCAGCACGAGGCTCTCCCTTCCCCTCCCTGCGCCCTTTACATATTGCCTAAAAGCCAGCAGCTGTAAGCTTCTTGAAATGTATAAGAGTTTTCAGACAGTTCAGCTTTTTCTAATATTTCTTCAGCTTATAACAGGATGCTACATAACATTTACTTTTTACTCGAGATGAGGAGAACTTTTCATAGTTGTCAAAACTATGTAAACTTAAAATGCTACCATCAGTTTCAGACCCTAAGGGCATGGCTGGTGGTACCAAAACTATTACATAGAAACACCTTAACAGAACTGTTGTTGGAATCAGCCATGTGACCAAGAGGCTCTGGTATTTCATCACAAGCAGATCCATTACTGCTGAAAATACTCCTCCAGTTGAAAAGAAGTCGCAGTTTACTGCCATCACTGCATTTAAGTGGAAATGGTTTGTTAGCTGCTCTGGTACATTTTTAAAAAAATTAAAAATGCTATTATAAAATATAATCAAAGAAAATCTTTGGTGTCTTTGCCATGTAAAGAAACTGAGTAAATTTGAAGTAATGCAGCTTTGACGTAGTGTTAGACTTAGAGGCTGTTCTAGATGTGAAATGATTTGCAGTACCTGCTCTGGCTCTGCATTACCAGTTTTTAGTCACCAAAGGGGTTTATTCTGAAGTCCTTATGAACCGGGATATACTAGATGAAGCGAGTAATGACTATAATGTTTGCTATAATTAGTTTGGCTTTAGTGATGACCTAATCTACATTCCTTCTCCTAGTTTATGGTAAGTGGATATGCCCAGAAGATCCTGTACATCATTTGTGTGTGTCTTTGTATGTGCATGTGCATATATATACACATTTATATAATTTTAAAAAGCACAGGCCCTTCTGTGAATTGGACAAAACTTATGTATCTTATTTTAAGGAAAGTACTCACACAAACAAGTTTACATAAACTCAAGAAAGTCCATGAGCCTTTCTCTTGCTCCTTGAGTTTCTTACTTTAAACCACGTTATACTTTAACATAACTTCACTATGGTGTTTTTCATTTAGCCTCTGGAATATCAGTCCAAAGTCACATAGGATGAATCAGGATTGGAAATTTTAAGTTGATGGTAGGATCATATTAAGGAACAAACAATTTTTTAACCTATTCATAAGATTAATCTCCCTTTTGGTTACCCTACATTAGAATTTATTGATTTACAAACTTCATATTTTATATTATTAACTTTACAGATTATCACTGTGGTTACTCAGTCATCTAAAAGAAACCTGCAACCTTTTCTTTTTCTTCAGATGTGGCCCCATTTATTGAGTTTCTGAAGTCCATACAAGATGGGACAATAGTCTTAATGGGAACATATGATGATGGAGCAACCAAGTATGTAAACTTAAAAATCTATACAACCTTTTTGAGCTATATTTTATAATTAAAAAGCAGTACATTTTCATTGAAAAAAATTTCTAAAACAGAGCAAAGTTCCAGATAAACACTATGAACATTTTTTTAGTTTTTTCCCTTCTGTTCTTTTGCATATTCATCAGGCATATATCATTGTAAAATTAGAATCACATTGTACATTAAGTTTGTTCTACTCTTTTGTGGTCTGTTTTTTTTTTAACAACTTGAAATCATTTTCCCTGACATTAATATTCTTTGATAGAATCTTTCATGGTTCACCAACAGGTGATCATATAGCCCTACCTTTATTTAAAAGTTGCTTGTTATTGCCAAGATTTTGTATTATTGTGATAAACACCCTTTTACATAATTATTTTTCACCTTTGATTATGTCCTTAAGGCAGATTCCTAGAAGCGGAATTGTGAAGGGATAAGTGTGTTATATTTTTCATAAAGTTTAATAGATGGTAGTTTGTAACTTTTCTTAAAATTGTATATGTTATAAAATTTGAAAAATACAGAAAAGCGCAAAGGAAAACAAGTTACAGTTTATCTCACTACTCAGACGTAACCATTGATATTAATTAATTTCTATCTCTAGATTTTTTTATGCACATATTTTATCTTAAACATTTGGAACAGTAGCATTTATAGCATACCTTTATGCTATATTACTTATGTGGTGAATATTTTCCCATAGAATTAAATATTTTTTTCATAACAGTTGTTCATGTCTGCCAAGTTTAGTTTTTCATTGTGTCATGATTTAAAATCTGTTTAATAAAACACCTACTGCTGAATGTTTAGACTCTGTCCAATTTTCATACTTAGCAAAAATATACTATCTTAAAATTATTTTGAAATCGATTTCCTTAAGATACATTTTTTTGAAGTAGGTTGTTGAATTAAATGATGTGCACATTTTTAAAAAGGATTTTTTAAAGTTTGTGCCAATTTTACATGTCTCTCAGAAGTTTGTAATTAAAAAAGCAGTACACCGATTGTTAATTTTTTTAAAAGTTCATTCTTAAAAGTTTTGGAGAGGAAACTTGTTTTAACATGCCTTCTTTGGTTATTGGTGAGACTGGATTTTTTAAACAAATGTTTTGGCTCCTCTTGTCAATTGTCTTTTGGCCATTTAGGTTGATTCTTATTTATTTGCAAAAGTCCTTTATATGTTAAGGATATTAACCATTTCTCATGTTAAAATGTATTATTTTGTACATCATTTGCTTTTAATTTTGTTAATTTGTGGTGCTTTTTGAGTTTTAGAAGTTTAGTCTAATTCTTATATAGACAGATCTGTGGATTTTCCTTTTGAGTTTTTCTACTTTTATACTTGAGAAATACTTTTCCATTTCTAACTTAGATATTTAGGAGATTTTTCTCTTCCAGTGATTTTACCATTTTCTTATACTTTTAAAAATCCACTTGTAATTTTCCAACAACTTATAATGCATATTATTATGTAGATTTGACTTTGTTTCTGAAAGTTCTGTTCTTCTATTTATTCCTGCTCCAATAAGATACTACTTCAATTTTTTTAATAACTTTGATAAAAATAAGTGTACTTAATACCTTTCTGGTGGGGTGAACTCTTTAATAGTCTTTCTCAAAAAAATCTTTCCTATGATACCTGTTTTGGATGACTTTTATCAAGAATAAAAAAAACATTCGAATATTTTACTTGAAAAGACTTTGAACTATATGCTCGACACAGGAATATGTCATGTCTTCCTTTTTATTGAGTTATGTATGTATTTAATATGTAGCTACATTATGGCAGATTTGCACTAAGAAAGCAGTGCCACTTTGTGAATATTTCTAAGCTGAAGCAGTTTCGTTGACATTTGCATTTTATCTAGTTCAACTAAAGACGTGTTAAACTCAGTACGAAGGTTAAATAAAACTGGCATATTCAACCATTGCCATTTAGCTAGATAGAACTAAACAGAATATAATTAGGCTTTCCTTATCAAAAAACAACCAACTTGCTATTTACTTTTGCTGAGAGAATAGGATATTACATGTGTAATTGAAATTTTAAAGGTTTTTTTTAAAGCCCTACTTTTCTAAATAGATACACATGACCTCTGTTTTTCATCAGGTTATTTCATTATTATACCTGGTGAGCATCACCCCTTTTGCCCTTCTGCTAATAATGATTTGCGGCCAGACCTAGAAACTAGGCAAAGATGATGTTTTCTTTTTAGCTGCTGTTTGTTGGTGTTCATCGAATGCAGACATGGAGAAAATCCTTATGAAGGGCCTTCTACATCTATTAAATGTAACAAAATATAACCACATATCTTGGCAGATGTCTGAATATTTGAAGTGATTCCTCAGTCGTAGTATACCCAGCCTTATATAGGAATGAAAAGCTCTGATGTGTTATGGCTTTTCCTCACATAGGCTGCTGGATTTTACCTTCTAAGGACTGGCTTGTTCTTCCACTTATACCTAAGAGAGTTGAGGATAAAATGGATGTGCCTCTTCTCTGCAGGTTACAGAGTTGGTTTGCAAGTCAGTTAGGGAAAGCGGGCTCAAATCTGTGCAGTTGTTCCTCTGTGATCCTGGTCACCACCATTCATAATAAGCCCCTCAGCTATACTCTGAACTTCAGCAGAATAACTGGGACTGGTCTCCATCACAGCGTTTCTCAAAGTGTATTCATTGGAACCCCAGTTTCTTAAAACTATAATGGTCAAATAAGTTTGGGATGGCACCTTTTTGTGGGTTTACAATAAACTCTCAAGTTCTGCCCTAAAGAAAATGTTTTACCTCTGTTTATGCCAGTGGTTCTTGATTTTTAACCAGGAAGCACATTTTAAAAACAAACAACAAAAAACCTATATCCAGGAAAACTTACACTTTAGGAAGTGCAGGTCTCTAATGTATCCACTTTCCATCTCCACCCTCTCTAAATTAAGTTGTTTGTTTTTTCGTTTGTTTAATAGAAAATATGGTAGTTTGAGCTAGCTAAATTTTGCTATTGTATTTCTCCTTTTGGAGAGAAAACTATGATGTGTTAGCCTCTCGCCTAAGTAAAGTGTTTAAATGTCGATGTCTTGAAGTAAGAGATCTTCAGGATCACTTGAAACAACATCACAGCCCTGGGCCACGGTCCCTCGGAACTTCTCTATGAATGCCTTCACTGACCTGCTCACCTCGTAAGGGTGTTGGTACTCATGTCATTTCTCTATTTGAAACAAGCAAAACATAAAACTATTCTTAAGTAAATGTTACGTTCTCGGGTTGGTCTCCCTCTAAATTCCTCCTGATAGTCCTTCTCTTGGATAAGTGGAAAAACAAAATAGATGTTCTCCCCAAATGGTACTCAGGTATTTGAAGCTAAACAGCATTTCTCTTTTAGTTTTCTCCAGGCTCAATACACATGGCTCATTTAACCTTTTATCATGTTACGTTTCTAGCTTGTTTTACCCGCCTGGCTGTATTTTTGGACATTCTCTAGTTGATTATTGTCTCTCTTAAATTGAGTGCCCCAAATCGAACACCATGTTCCAGACGTGGTCTGGCCAGTCCAGGGTACAGTGGAGATGTTAGCTTACCATGCCGTAGAGATTACATTTCTTTGAATATTCATGCGGACTCGTATTGTATTCGTTTTCTTTAAACAGTCACATAACATTTTTGGCTCATGAGTTTTTGGTCAAGTTAAATTCTTAGATCTTTTCATTTGGTCTCAGACTTTTGTGTTTTAATCACTGCCAAGTCAGATCTTTCTCCTCATTCAGAACTTGATTTTATTTTGTCTAAATGAAGGACTTTATATTCATGTATCCTTGTTAAATTTAATTTTGCTGATTTTGGCCCACTTGGTCTTGATTCTGACATTTGTCGTATGAGGTTTTCATGATCCAGGCTTTGTATTCTCTCTAAAGTCGTTCTTATGTTTAAATCTAAGTCATTGCTAAAAATGTTTACCAAGGTCAGTGTGCCACCTTGCGGGAGACCTCCTGCAAGGGATTCGTCTATTAATCAGCTGCAGAAACTACTTTTCAAACAGCTGCCAGTGTACCCTAATAGGCATACCATCCAGCTGCCGCGTCATTATTATCTGAAACTATCGGATGCTCACTTTAATTCATGACTATGCTAATTACGGTACCCTGATCTGACACCCAAAAACCTCTTCAAAAGCTGAAATAACTTGACTTTATTCATCCCTCCTTCCTACTACCCCCTCTTTTTCTTTCCTTCTTTGTTTTACTGCTCACAGGAGCTCCTTGTAATCCCTTCAAGAATTTTGTTAGGAATTGAAATTGGTTTTATTGGGCCCTTGTTTCTAAAATGTACCTTGCCTATTTTTGAAAACTGGAATATTTAACTTTTAATGTCCTAGCATTTCCAATTTCTATGATGCTTCTAAAATAACTATCACTACATCGAAGATTATATTAACAAGTTCCTTTAGAATTTTAAGTGTGTGATGTGTGGGCCTGGAGGTTTAAATTTAGTTTAAAGCTGTTATACGGACATTCTTGAATTACTATTCCCTTTTCATGTTGATCAAAGAGTGTTCGCTTCCCTGGAAAAGATAATCATGCTTTGATCTCAGTATTATATTCTCTTTGTGAAACAGTGGGTCTCTTTGTTATTCACACTTAGTAGCAAAAGTTCTTTCTGTGGCCTTTACAAGTTTTATGAATCTCATCTCATTCTAAGCACTGCAGGCCTTCCTGGTAGTAGTAGTAAAAGTTTTGTCATTAGTAATAGGATTTGCCTTGTATTTTGTACACTCCCTTTTTTAAGCTCAAGCCCATCACAAGAGCATTCTTGTAGTAGCGTTAATTTAGAAACTTTTTTTTTCTGAGATTATTAGCAAATCACAAAATGAACATTATTGGGGTATTTGTTTTTTCATTTGTTTTTAAGAGTTATGTTCTTGCATAAGAGTTTCTAATCTGAACTTTTTATAATATGCTCTCTTTAAAGACTAGGCTTCATGGTCACCTATGCCTAGAGTTCCTTATTTTTCAAACTCCTAAGAGACCATGATTTTCTTCTAATATTCTCGACACTCTACTTCCCAGCTGGTTCTTCCTTGTTAGTCAGAACTGAGCCCAGAACATCAGTTCTTCTTCTTGCTTTCTGTACTTTTTGAGAAAAGGGGACCCCGGCTTGGTTTGATGGTATGACCAAAGGACCATCTGATGTCTTTCCTTTCCCAGCAAAGATGGAGGCAAATTGGAGGCTCCCCATCTCCAGTCCGCATTTCCTCTTTTTCTCCAGACTGCCTCTGTGCAGCCTTAGAATCTTTTCTAGGAAAACTTGATTCCTTTCTTTGTCTAGTTTCTGGTTTATCACAGAAAATTTTCTATTCATTTTTAAAGAAAATTCTCAACTAAAATAATTTTTTCCATGTAAGTTTTTAACAATTCATCCAGTTATGAGCATTAGTAAAGATTAAAATATGTATAATAAACTCCTGGTGCCTCCTATATAGAATTAAAAGCTTATCTCTAAGCTTCATGTTGTATATAACTGTATAAGTTACCCTGGCTTTTAAAAACTGGAGCATTTTGACATCTATCATATATTTGATCTAGTGCTTAAAATATTGTCTACATTGCATAGTTTTATTTAAACTTCTTTTTGAAATATGAAATCATCTTTTACTTAGTAAAATAGAAAATGCCAAAAAAGAATAATAAAGTTCCCCAACCTTGACATAGGCAGATCAGAAAACTTTAGAAGTCACTGAGAGAGTTATTTGGTTATAAAACTATAGCTAGATAGACATAGTTAGGGACATGTGGCAAGGGTGCCCAGGACCACCACCAGATGTGATGATTTACTAGAGAGATTTACAGGACGCAGCGTATAGACCTGCTCACATAAGGCTATACGGTCTGTTACAGCAAAAGGATACAATGCAGAATTAGCATGTTTACATAAAAGGCAAATGTACATGGGGCAAAGTCAAGTTTCCAAGTGTCCTCTCCCAGGTGGAGTTACAGAGAACATGCTTAATTTCTCCAGCGACAAGTTGTGACAACAGTGCAAAATTCTGTCTACTAGGGCATCTTATTAGAAACTCAGTACGTAGGGTTTTTATCAGGAGCTGATCATGTAGGCACCCACTGCCTAACACATCCCCAAATTCCAGACTTCCAGAAAGAAAGTAGATGTTTATCATAAACTGCATTGTTTGTACATTTTAGGGACAGTGAACCATTCCAATGGATTCTGGGAACGGTGGGAACCTGCCCCAAATCCAAGTTTCCAGATGTCAGCCAAGGATCAGTCTTGTGGGTCGGCCTTTCTGAGGATAGCCAACTCCAGCCTGCTCTGTTAACCCTTTTCTGTGCAGGACCTAGGGTGTTCTCATGGGAAAGTAAGGGAAGAAATGACCAGAGTCAAAACATAAAGCTGAATTTTCAAGTTGCTTCTAGATCTTTGGCCAAATTGGCTTTGTGTATTCATACAGATCAAAATGATCACTTCTCACATCCAAAAGTACAGAAGTAAAAATGACTGCCCTTCAATATATTTCTTAACTGATGCAAAATTCTTAGATATGAAAGCTTTTATGTACCTTTTGTAGAGGGCCAGGCCTGCATTTTGATACCCATCTACTTTGCAAGCAGTTTCTATGTATAAGCCATCCCACAACATTTGTGAACTTAACATTCAGCTATTTATGAGCAATCTTAAAGCCTGCCAGGTGTTGGTTTGTTAATTTTTCTGAGATGTAAGTGTGAATCAAGCCAAAGGCACCTTTGCAGGAGGCCGTCACTGAGCTGCACAGTGAACCAAGGCCTGACCTCTGCGTTTTGATACTATTTGTTCTTGTTATAGTAAAACTTGCCTATTAGTGCTGATGATGCAAATAAAATATTCAAAGAAAGTACCCAGAAAAATAGAATTGGATAAATTAATTAGTGGAACTTGACAGTCTTCATACCTGTGATATGCTAACACTGGAAACAAATATTGCAAGGTTCACACAATACTTTCAGGATGTGTCCCTCTAAAGCAAAAGTTGCTGATCAAGTGAACAAACAAAAAGTGGTGCCTAATGTGAGGATAGGCACAGGAAACACAGCTATAGACAAACCTTAGGGAGCAAGCGAGGAGCATATCCACATGATACGTAAAGGTCTTAAAGTCTTCAGGAGGCCAAGACTTCCCTGGTTCTTTTGCACAGCTGTTTCATTTATTTTTATTTCACTTGGTTATAAACACATCGCTTTATACAGATCTGAGTCTGAAAGGCTAAATATTCCAGGACAACAGCTGATTTTCTCACTGACTCTAGTGAACTTCCCCAGGTGGACAGCAAAGCCCGGGCTGTGGTTAAAACAGCTCCACTGCCCGTCTGATTTAAGTGCTTTGCATAAATTGTGGAGGTCTAATGATGTGTGCATTTCTTTCCTGTTTTATGAAGCTTTTTTTAAAAAAAGAAAAACATAAATTATCCCATTTATCCTTGAGTTAGTTAAATGAGAACTGTCGTATCCAGTATTTTTTTCATTAATACATTAAAGGAGCTAACTGACATTAGCATGTGATATGTCAAAGAACTTGTCTGTGGGATAAATAAGCACCTTCCTGACTGACCTTCTGGCTGATATAAACAACTTACTACCAAATAGCTGCACAGGTGGCCGTTAGTTATCTTTTGTTCTTTTTCTTTTTCTTTTTTTTTTTAGCTCCACTGAATTTCCTTCCCCTTTTGAGACAGAGGAGACATGGAGAATCACTCAACATTAGGATGACAACCTACACAAAATACCTTGACGGCACCTTTCATTTAGCTATTTCCCTAGCATTTGGCTTTTGTCACTGTCCTTCCTCCTGCTGGGAGGTACTTAGCTGCTGTTTTCATTCTTTATTAAATAACCACTTGGCACTTATCGCTTAAGGACAATTTATTTCCGTAGTCTCAAAATTCATTTTATTTAAAGTAAAAGATAGAATTAGAAACCTCTGTATTTCTATTAGCATTTACCTTTATTCAGATGAAATTTACAAAGGGTTTAGTGGAGATTCAAAGTGATTTTTAATTGTATAAAGATGTTGGTTGCTTAAGACCTTAAATTAGCCTGGAGAGTCATCTACTAACTGCAGTATCCTGTATTTATTTGATGGATGTAGCTGAAAGTTAGTTATTGTTGTGAAATGAAAACATGTAAAAGGTACTTTTTAATATAATAAACTTAAAATGATATGCTAGGTTTTATGTCTTTTGTCACTAAAGAATTCACATTGTAAGATATAAAAATGTTGAATCACTCTATTGTACACCTAAAATTAATATAACTAATATAATACTGTATACTGGCTATTCTTAAAAAATTCAAATAGGACTGGTACTCTGAAAACATTTCTGTATTCTTTTTTTATGTTCTCTTACTTAAGCCTACATATTCTCATTTTCGTCTCATGGTAAATATCCTAGGTAACTCAATATTACTTATATAACATAGAATGCACTATGTTTATCGTATCATTCTTTTTCTTCCTCTAAGACTCAATGATGAGGCACGGCGGCTCATTGCTGAATTGGGGAGTACGTCCATTACCAGTCTTGGTTTTAGAGACAACTGGGTCTTCTGTGGTGGGAAAGGCATTAAGACAAAAAGCCCTTTTGAACAGGTTAGTGTCTTAGACTTCACTATTAATGGATAAAAGCAAATTGTATGAAAGCATATGGTACATATTCTTATCCCAGTTATCTGTAATTTAGATAAAGCAGACATTAAATATATTCATATATTTTTTATAAGTTCTTGGTAATCAATTATTTGAAGTAACATGGCAGTGGTTTAATTTCAAAGCTTAAAAATAGTCAAATTCTGCATGGGAATTTTTTTTCCTATATGACAGCGCATTAGCATATAATTGCTTTTATAATAAGCCTTTTAGGAAACATTGGTTATTAAAGATTTTAATTGAGTTTTTGATCTAATAATCAATTAAGTTTGGAAATACTTCAGAACTTAGTAGAATGTAAACTTTTTGGCTAAAAAATGATCCTTTAATAAACATCTGCAGTGTTTTGTTCTTTTAGCTATTATTTGAAAGTCTGCCACTACATGCCAGTCCCGAAGCTTTCTCATTTAATATCTTGAACCATCATTTATATGAACTCATTGTTGACATGAGTGTTAGCGAAATGAGCGCACTAAAGCATGTCGTCGCAGATAAGCAGTCCACCAAGGTTTTTGAAATCGTATACTATTATTGTGTTCCAACAGCACATAAAGAACAATAAGGACACAAACAAATATGAAGGCTGGCCTGAAGTTGTAGAAATGGAAGGATGCATCCCCCAGAAGCAAGACTGACGTGGAGAAAATTGAAGGACACGCACTTTCACTATTAATGGGACAGCTACAATAGCGAAACTACATGTAAATATTTTAAAAGCATGCAGCCATCTCGGTGTGTGCATGAGCATTCTCTTTTGATATCAGGATTATTTATTGGTAACGTAAATAGATGTCTTTGTAAATAGTCGTCATAATGAGGAAATCATTGAACCATTTCTAAGCACATTTCTCTAATAGTAAAATGTTTAGTCTGCTATGGAAATGACATCTTGTAATTCCAAAAGCATACTTGTGGATAACTCAACAGATCATGAAAAATAATTGATATATATACTGGTTGCTGTGAAACTCTATCATGGAATAATATGGATTTGAGGGAGGAGACTTTGTTTTCTTTTATATATATATATATTGCTTTTTGATGATAGTAGCTTTTAAAGATATTTGGCTAGGTGTGTATGTAATGTCACTTTACAGTCCAACTCTCCTTATGTACCTCTTTTCTTAGTCTTTATCTTTCCCAATAAACCAAGAAATAAAATTATATGAAAACCTATATCAGATATGTGAAAAGCACAACAAATTTTTTTTTAATGTATACAGTAAAAAGTAAACATATAAATGTAGGTGGCTTTCAGGACTATAGCTTGCTGGATTTTTGTGTTAGTAACATGAGTAAGTCGATTCTGTATAAGCTACTTAGAGTGAGGGCACAGGTGGCAACTCCATAGAACTGGGGAAGTGGGCCAAGTCCCTTTCCAACCGAGTTGGTCATTCAGGACAGCTGTGTCAGTATATTTAGAGAAATACTGGCATAGATTGTCCTTATTTGTTATCAGCATGACAGAGTGGTTTGGAAAGAGGCATGCTTTTAATATCATAATAATTTTGATTTGTAAACCAAGAAATTAATTTTGTATTTACCTTATTTAACTTCATACTACCAGTTTTTGCCTAAAGATATATATTAAATACTTAGAAAAGATCTAATTATTGAATGGACTGATAACATTTAAAAATAATTTTGGTGCAAAATGATTTCATACCCAATTCTATGTAAAAATATAAGAGATCTAACTTTTTCGTTAACTTTAGATGTTTACTAAATGACTCAAGTTTTTACTTTAAAAAAATTTTTAGGCCATTAAATACTTAACTATATATGAAATAGAAACTGGAACACAGAGAAATTTAATGATCTAACTTCTATCCACAATGAAAGGCAGGACTTAAATTTTGAATCTAAATTTTAGATAACTTGTATAAAAAAACTAAAAGCAGTATTTTTTATTTTGTTACAAACCAAGCTGGAAGCTGTTCAGCTGTTTCTTAAATATAAATGAGCTTTGGGGTACTGTTTATTTCCTCCAACTCAGTATAATTCATGATTAAATACACCTTACAAGTTTAAACAATTTTTGTAAACTTTTCAGATTTTGGTGCTTATATGCTAAATCACATGCAGCATGTACATTTTGGCATTTAAAACACTTCCCTCAATTCTGTAAATTAAAAGAATAGGAGTTTTACAGTTCCAGAGATTGTGAAATAAATGTTGCATTTTTTTAAAAAAAAATGAAGACATGCTTGGTTTTGCATTGTGAATTTTTTCGTATTGTCTGGCAGGGTAATATACCTACAGAACTTCTCATTAAGGTCTGTCAAACATTTATTGTCCTGCCTAACATGCACAATTTAAGTCATTTCTGTGGTTAAACATACTGGTATCCTCAGGATGTATCTTAACATGTATAGAATTTAAGTATCTAAATAGCAGGCCATCACTTTCAAGAAGACTGTAAAATGATAGCTTCGTGAAGGTGTATACAATGTCAGAAGAAGGGTAGAGATTGGTTCTGGAACTGCTGGGTGCGTTTGATCTCGTTTCGGTTCTGTCTTGTACAGATTGTGCCAACTTAACTTTGGAAGCAATAATTTTACTACATTTCATTTCCAGATATCTTTTAAAAAATCAGCATTATACATGAAACAATGCTTATTTAATGTTAAGAATTTTATTAAAATCAAACTTGGCACTGACACTTTGGTACTTTAAGTTGTGTTTAAGGACTTATTTTTTATTTGTAATCATAGGTGCTTTCCCAGAGCAAGTGTATTATAATATGCCTATTAAAATTAAACAAAGATAGGAAAATAAGTGATACTTGAGAAATTAAAGAGAAACTGAGCCAGAGTCTTTATATCCCTGACTTTAATTTGATTAAAGTAAAATTTATCATTGTTTTTTCTATATTTTATTGTGTTTTCAAATGAATCAGCTAATATTTTATAATTTTATGCTGGGTGAAGCTCAATGTGTTTAGCCTGTATTTCACTTTAACAGTTTATACAAATTATAAATAATTTGACCCCCCCCCCAAAGGGATGATCGTTTGGTTATCATTCCCCATTTTTAAATGAAAGGATGGGAAATATGCTGTTTCATTGGTGTAGCAATTAAAAGTAGAATAAATACTTTAGAATACTTTTAAAAATATGAAAAGAAAAAATTCTTGTGTTGATAAGGGAAAAGATTTTCCACTTAACCTCTTTCATTAGGCCTTAGACAGCAATAAGTACATGTAAACTAAGAGTTGTAGAAAAAAATACCAGATTTTACCTTTTCTAAAGCATTCATCAGAACGATTATTACTTTCTCTTCCCAGGATGACTATTCTGTCATAAACTGGGATTTTCAGTGTTATATGCCAATGGCTAATTAATCTCCATTCCCCTCAAAGTACTGTCAATTTAACTAGGCCTGTCCTCTCCGACTGCTTGTCTCCCCCTCCCCCATCCCCTTTCTTCAGGTTCCAGTCAAATTAAGGGTTAGATAGAGTGAAAAGCAGACCTGGCGTGGAAATGTCAGTCAGTTGCTAGGCAGGTAGAAGGGAGCAGCAAAGGATGCTGCAGGCGGCGTGGTGAAAGCCCATCCGAGAATTTAAGAACCTTTCACCCATCCAGTAACAGACAGATTACTGGAAGCAGCTCTGTTAAGGAAGTACTTTCAACACTAGGATGTCTCTTCTAGGAGTGCTCAGAAGGGAAAAGAGACTGGCCAGCCCTCTAGTTAGAGATAAAAGAGAGCTTTCTCTTGGATTTGTTCCATGGGCAGTTTACAAGCAAACTTAACTCCGGGAAGACAACGCTCCCGGCACAGCTAGTTCACAGGTATGATTTCCTGCCATTACTAAACTCACTGTTCAGCTCCGCATAAAATATGCCTACTGCTGGAGTGCAGTGGATAGTAGAAGAACAAGTTGAGACTCAATCAATACAATATTTTCCCTTTTATTAGGGAAAATCGTTTGTGAACACGTAAGGTCCTAAAGTTCATATAGTCAGCATGTATTTATTTCCCTTGATAGAGAAAAGGGGCCTAAAATATTTAAGAGACTAGAATTCTGTAATGAGGGGACAGTACAGCATACTAGTTAAGAGGACAGACCTGCTTGAGTGTCTCTCCCACTGTCCGCTACATGAGGACCTTGAGAAAGTCAATGTCCTCACCTGTAAAACAGGGACAATACTATGTGTTTGTGGTGACTAAAGTTCCTGGCACAAACTATTCATTAAATGCAACTACTAGTATTTCTGTTATTGACTGTGTCTCTTACAGGCTAGTAATGTTTTAGCCCAAGAGAAAAGCTAAGTCAGTCCCTTTAGCTTTCCAATCTCATCATACCAAGTACTATAGTCTGAATGTTCCTGTCCTCCCCAAAGTCATATGTTGGAACCTAATCCCCAATGTGGTGGCATTAGGAGGTGGGGCCTTTGGGAGGTGATTAGGTCATGAGGGTGAATTAGGTCATGAATGGGATTAGCCCTTATAAAACACACGCCTGAGAGTCCCCTTGCCTCTCTGCCATATGAGGACACAGCAAGAAGATAGCCGTCTGTGAATCTGGAAGCGGCCCCTCGCTAGACACCCAATTTGCTGATACCTTGGTCTTGGACTTGCCTGTCTCCAGAACTGTAAGAAGTAAATTTCTGTTGTTTATAAGCCACCCAGTCTGTGGTGTTTTGTTATAGCAACCTGAACGGTCTAAGACAACAAGCCTAGAGGGAACCCTTAAATGACGAGAGCAGTAAGGTTATAGGAGAGAATGCGGCTATTCATTCACCCGAGGTTTTCTCCTGGACCTCAAAGCCTTTGAGTATATACCACCTACCCTTCTACTCAATCCACACTGACACCAAACTACCTTTCATAAGCAGAAGTCAAGTTTTTGTGTATCTCCAGGCAGCTAATATTTCAAACGAGCACATGATCATATAGTTCTACTTGCTGGCCCACCTGTATGGGAAAGTCTGGGACTTCAGCCAGAGGTAGGGAGTGTTTTCTGATTCATTCCTGTGGCCCCAGGCAGTTGAGGAGCCTCACAGGGGAGCACTGGGCTGAAGCCCCAGTCTTGGAGAGCACAGAACTGTAGACCTCAATCCCTGTTCCTGGTAACCTAACTGGCCACCCAACGCCCACTGAAGGTAGGGTGGGGCAGCCATCCAGTCAGAGGAGATGCTGGGACCCAGCTGGCACCCCCTTGCACACCAGCATTTGCGTCTTGCTCAGAACCACCAGTAGGGTTTCCTGGGCAAGAGAGGAATCTTGATCGGGAATCTTGAAACATTTTTTACTTTCTGGGATCAACACTTTAATAACAGTAAGTCTGTTGTTTGAAATTTATGCATTTAAGTTTCAAACATGTTTTCAACACTGCATTATGCATTCAAATGCAGCCCAGCTTTGTCCAGGTTCTGTTACTGCTGCTTGGATGGGACATGCTTAGATGAACAAGCTCAGTACCGGGGCCAGTAAATTCCCTGCCAAGTCTTAGCCTTCTGTGTCACCATTGGAATGAAACGGCCACTTGGGAAATTGACTTTAGTATACCTCTGTGTACTGGGAGCCTGATTAGAGAAGTACTGTGTGCTTTACTTGACAAGAGCAGAAATGAACTTCAAGGAGACTGTCTCTCAAGTCCAATCTCCAAGTGTAGGAGAGATTTAAAAGCGAATGATGCTGAGAGCTATAGTCAAAATATGTTCAAGTCGTGGAGTAAGCAGAAAGTAATCCTTAAGAGTTGTAGTTCTCATGGGTAGCCCCTGGGTGGAAGAAGTGGGAGAGTCACAGGTGAGAATTTCCTTAGGCGGAAGGAAGGGGCACTGGATCTTAGTCCCATGGGCCCCTTATCAAGGGGGTGCAGCCTGCCTTAAATGACTTCCTGTTCTCCTGTAGGGAGAAGACCTGAGGTTAAGATCAGCAAATGAGCTTCTACCTCCACTCCTATAGAAATCTGAAATTTTTGACCTGGGAATGAGGTTGAAAGCCAGTTCTTGTGGAACTGTTAATATCTTGCAAAGAAGGTGTTAAAATCCTACTATTGAATACTCTGGAGGAGGTTCCCTAGAATTCTACAGTGCTGGGCATGTGGGACATGGGCGCAGTTACAGGAGTTGGGGCAGTTGAAATTTTGAGATTGTGTTCCTATACTTAGTCAACAAATTTTAAAGTGCTCTTTCTCAAGAAATAATATATTAGGCATTTGGGGGAAAAATGTTCAAGCCAGCAGAGAAGAGAATGCCTCATTCTGAATAGTGAAATTTATCTTTCAGCTTGTAAAATCATTGAGCCTACACCTATTAAATAGGGGACATGTTAAAGAGAATTTATCACATTCATTTCTTCAGTTTTCCCATTTTGCTATTGTGCCATATTCTATTTCTTGCCTTGCATAGAGAGAGCCTTGTGAGGAGCAAAAATTAGTTGTTTGCCAGGGAGTTTGAGATGAAGCAATTACAATGAATGGGACTTTAAACTTACACAATGTTATGTGTCAATTAGGCGTCAATAAAGTTGAAAAAAAAGTACAAAAGAAATGACAAAAAAAAATTTAAAGAGCTTATCTTAAAAGAAAAGTAGGGATTATATTCTAGAAACAAATAGGTAATTACTGATTTACATTTTGTATGTTTATACCTTTTCTTGGTTTATAAAGAGATCTAGATGTATTTAAATGTATGGTTAGATTTGGTGGTATTTCTCTTTTACCTAAGATTAATTAGGGGATACAAGGGGCCACCCTTCCTTTTTCTTGGCTAAATAAGGCCGGTGGATATATGGGCCACTGTCACGGGTGTTTGGTTGTTAGTAATATGCAGAAGGGAAAGCTGTTGGTCTACGTAGGGGTGAATCACTCCAAGGGTTCAGACTGGCAGTTTGACAGAGGGAAACAGGCAGCCCTGTAACCATTACTCTTTCTGATTTTCCAATTCTCACACACGAATCAGATGCTTTGCCTTATTCTGCAAATTAAAAAGTCACACATGAAACTTTAGTTTGTGTTGACTCAGTCCACATTATTACGCGCCCTTTACAGCTGATGGGAGAGGCTGCTTTTTTAGCACGATTTTGTTTCAAGAGTTTTTATCGTGCAAAACATCTCTAGTGGTTTTTCTTTGGATGCGAATGTAAACCATTACCAGTGGTAAATTTCATCCATCTATTAAAAATAACACCTTATGTAACAATTGGCTGTAAGCACAGCAATAAAAAGGATGTAAGTATTTATTTTATGTCCCACTAAATTAGTTTGATCTATACCCCTAGTCATTTCCTTTTGGAATGATTGTTAGGCTCTTGCAGAATCCAACTGTTAGCCGCATTGGGATCTAAAATAGCAGGCAACTGAAAGCATTTTGAGCCTCAAAATCAAGCGGCAGTGTATTTAATTATATTTCATGGCAAATTCTAAGGTCTCCACTCTCTCATCACTTTGCTCCTGCTCCTCGACCAAGTTTATATAACCAAAACCATGAAGCAACATCCTGTAATTTTCATTATATTTACAAATCCCCCAAACTCTTTAAATGCATACTGTGAACTCAGTGTATTGACTATTTTATGCTGTGAGAGGCATATGATAGCTAAGGGCACAGACTCTGAAGCCAGTCCATTCTGAGATGTCGAGCTAGTTATTTAACTGTTGCTGTGTCTGTTTCTTCATGTGTAAAATGATGACCACAATAATGGGACTACTCTGAGAGATTATTGTGAGGACTAAGTATGTATTTACATATAATTTACTTAGAACAATACCTAGTACACAGTAAGTGCTACTACCTAAGTGTTTACTAATAGCATTTTCTTTTTCAAAGGAAATGAGTCCTTGGTGTGCCACTATGTCCCTTTTCATG